ATTTATCCCGAGGTTCGGCAACCCACAAAGGAACTCCTACGTCCTTGTTGTTGAGGTAACCACAAAGGTCAAAGTCCCTTCCACCTTGTTGCCTCTCTCAAGGCAACCACAAAGGTCACTTGAGCTTTCTACTAAGAAATCGAGGGTAATACAAACTTCCCAAGGCTCTTCCACAAGATGGAAGCTCTTGGGTGATGCCTAGCTGGCTAGGAGCAAAGCTCTAAGAGTAATAGACACAAATCCAACTGGCTTGACAAAGAAATCAAGTGCTCAAGCTTGCCAAAGTGATTCTCTCACTCAATCCGCTCTCCTTTCACTCAAAACCCTAGGGGAATCAAAATTGGGAGCAAAGAGGAGAGAGGAGGGGAGCCTTGAATGCTTGAGAGCTCTTTTGGACAGAGTTAGCGCAATGAGTGGGTAACGGTTAGAAGAGAGAAGAGAGCTATTTATACTTATAGACAAAATCTAACTGTTTAGATCTGCGTCAAAAGTTCTATCACAGAGCGCTAGAACTTATGGCGCCTAATAAAACACTGTTCATACACGCAGACAGCTAGGCTAGCTCGACCGGAGTCTGAACTCCTGGCGGCTGTCGGGACTTCCGGTAGTCGGGACTTTTGGCTCTCATCGGGACATCTGATGGCCAGCTGAGCCTAGCAACTAAGTCTAGAGTGCCGGGACTTACGGCGGGAGTCGGGACTTCCTACTATCGGAACTCTCGGCAAATGTTAGAACTTCCGACGGTCAAAGTCCCAAAAACTATATCTATGTGTTTGTGAGGTGCTTAAGTGTCTCTCTATTGATTTTATTTTAACGCTTGAGCACTCTATCTTCCTCAGACCACCTAAACTTGCATCCTTCTTTATAGTACGGCATACCTAAACCCAAAACTTTGAAATAAATCTTTGGAGAGCATTTTGAGTTCGTCCGCCTTTCCAACTTCAAGAATTGAGGGACACCATTTTATCTAAATCAACTCTTTAAAACTTTTATGGGACTAAAGCTGCAATACATCTCTCTAATATTTCATTAGTCCCTAATTTGGATTTCATCAATACACCAAAACCCACATAGGGGGCAAATGCACTTTCAAGATTTGGTGCCTCCTCGAAGCTGACATGCCGGGGACTCAAGTTCCGAGCTTCTTCATGGTAGCCAAAGGTCGGCCAGATTGAGGCGGCGGCCGGCTATCGGGGGCCAGGGGTGGCGGCCTGACTCTTCCTTGTGCTGACTCACACCGACTCACCTTGGCTGTAGCCCTACGCAACTACGCCAGGTGCCCAGGTCCTCTTCAGGCCCTTCGTCGTCGACAAGCACCACCAAGATGGCCGGCATGGAGCAAGAAGCCCAGATCTAGGACCTCTAGCACCGGATCCAACGTTCCCTACCCTAGATCCGGCACTGCCAGGGCAGGCAGGCGCGGCTACTGGTGGGTGGATGCCATGCGAAGGCAGAGGCGGCACCCCTAGATGGTAGTTTCGAGTAATGCTACATGTGCGTGCGCTCCTCGGCCCACCTCCCTCGCCTTCCCAAGTACGTGCACCTACCTAGACCCGCGGGTGGTGTCTGGGCCGACGGGCAGGCACGTGCCACACGAAGGCGATCTACACCATGATAGATGTGAGTGCCGGGTGCTAGCATGGCGCCAACGACAGGAGGCTGCCTGACCAAGCGTCCTTGGCGGCTCGGATTCAATGCACGGTGGCCAGATGGGTGCGACGGTGCGGCTAGTCGGGCTAGGCCTGTGGTAGCTAGATCTGGGTGTAGCGAGGTGCTCCACAGCTGGAATGGGTGCAAGGCGATCGGCTCTGTGACTGCAAGATTTGGCTGTGTGGGTTCTCAGGGGCTGGTGGTGCCGTGGTGCTCCCGGGCCCAGCGAATGTCGTGTATCATGGTCGTGTTCGCTTCGGCACTACAGGGCCAGGCTGACTTGCGCCCGCCTCGGCAATGCAGGCCTAGGCCGGCTAGCATCTGTAGGGGAACCCCCTATGGCCTAGCCTTCATGGCGTTCCAATCCGGTGCCTCGAGGTGCTCACGACGTCCGACATCGGGAGGTGGGCACGGTGTCGCTCCGGGCTTGTTCTCCTGGTTTTTTGAGATGATGGGCTATAGTTCATGGGTTTGGGGAGGCTAGGCAAAAGCCATGCACAACCCTATCTGTGCGACCAACGGCGACGCCCTCCGGTGCCGTTTATCTCCCGTCGCCTTTTATCTCCTTGGAGGCATCGATGATGTAGGCTCTCCACCCTATGACTGTAGTACTGTCACTCTCCTCCTGGTGAAAACCTAGCTCTAGTTATCTAGAGTCGGTGGTGGCGGCATCAACGATGTTGTGTCCCTCTTGAGGGCATCACTATGGAGGGGTAGATTCTAGCTCTTGCTTTTGCGAAGGCTAACCCGAGCTTGCTGCATCAGCTAAGCAGGTTTCGGGGCAAAATCCCTTATGGGCCTAGTGCTCTATTCATCGATGGCATCCGTGGGCATCACTCTCCTTCTTTAAGGCATCGATGCAAAGAACCTCTCCTCGGTTGCTCTCCTCCCCATCTTGTTGTTGTTATGGCTACCCTCCTACCCCTTGGCTTCTGCAAACACTACTTGTTCTCAGGTACTCGTCGTCCATGGCTTGCTCTGTCATTCTCTAGATCACTTGAGTGCTTCGCCTCATCATATTCTGGGTTGCGGGGACCTTGATCTCCTCTCTGGATCTCCTCGTTCTCCTCCTAGAGACCCTCCCCCTTTGAGGCTTCCTTCCCCCAAATGGCATTGGTGGGCGTTGGTTGGAGCTTAGATGCGCTCTTAGGCGATGCTACTCATGGCTGCCGCCTGTTGTCTCTCGACTCAATGCCTTGCAGCTTCCTAGATGCCATCTACCGGATCCCACTCAATATCTTATAGCTGCATGTGGTGTGGAGCTCTTCAGAGTATGTCTTTGGTGGTGGCAAAGGTCAGAAAGTTGTGCTTGCAGTCGCTTCGGTTAGTCGGTGGACTTGGTAGTTGAATCATGTTGTGTTTGTTGTTGTTCTGTTAAGTGTTGTAATCCCTCTCTCTCCTACTTGTCATGTACTTCTTGGAATTTTGTATTGGGATTGGCACCATGCCCTTCCACCCCCCCCCCGGCTTGATCGGTATTTGTGGAATGAAAATTCAGGTGGGGAGAACTTACCCCCCTAGTGTTGACCTCAAAAAAAAGCAACCAGGAGACACTCACTTCTGGACAGGTCTTATTTTTGTTAAAGGTCTTTTTCTAGAAAAGGGAAAGTTTAAAGTCAACAATGGGAACCAAACTAGATTATGAGAAGATTTTGGATAGGCCAAGAGCCTTTAAATTTACAATTTCTAGGTCCATATAGAATAGCGAGAATGAAGAATGTTTCAGTGGCAAGTGTAGTAGGTACAACTCTCCTTAACATGTCCTCTAGGAGGGCGCTGCTAGGGGAGAAGTTAAGGGACTGGTTTGGACTAGATGCTCTAGTGCTACCAATCAAGTTGAATGACAATGAAGAGTTTTTCTTTTATGGCTAAGTAAAAACGGTCTCTTTTCAACTCAATCTTTATATAAAGACATCATGGGGAGGGCTAGAATTCCAGGGAGGTGTTTATTTTGGAAGGCTAGACTACCTTTAAAAATTAAAATCTTTCTGTGGTATCTAAAAAGAGGGGTGTTCTTAACAAAAGGCAAATTGATAAAAGAGGTTGGAAAGGGGAAACCAGGTGCAGCTTCTATGACATGGAAGAAACCATATGACATCTCTTGTTTGAGTGTCATGTTGCTAAGGCGGTATGGAGTTCTTTGTTATTAGCATTTAACATTAAACCACCTAAGGATATAGGCCACCTATTTGGTTCTTGGCTTAGGCTATGTTCGGCTGCCATTATAAGCCAGCTTATCAGCCATGGTACAGTATTTTTTTCTCCCAATAAATTAGTCGTACAAATTAGCACAAGCAGCTTATAGACTAGTCGAACAGAGCCTAAGAAGCTTCCCTCCGAGCCTAAGAAATCATATAATAGTGGGGGTAATAGCTATGTGTTGGGCGGTATGGTTAAGTAAAAATGATGTTGTGTTTAATAGAACAATGACCGACTCTTTTTCGTAGGTGATTTTCAGAGGGACATATTGGATTAGAATTTGGTCGCACCTATCTAAAGAGTTATTAAAGGGAAGACAGATGAAGGAAGGTTGTCATTTACCGGAAGTTTTGATGTTGGAAGACATCACAAAGCATTGGTGGAGACATCTAAAGAGGATTGAAACTTAAGAGTTTTGTTGGTTAGTATTACCTCCATCCCAAAGTATAAGATATTTGACTTTTTGACACCGAAGTTTGACCACTCGTCTTATTCAAAAATTTGCACAAAATATCACTTCTTTTGTCGTGACTTATTTTATTAATAAAAATTCTTCAAGAATAACTTAAATTTAACTATGTTTGTAGAAATTTTTTGAATAAAATGAGTGATTCAAACTTGAGGTTAAAAAAGTCAAACGTTTTGTAATTTAGGACGGAGAAAGTACTTAGTATCAGCTCTTTGAGGAGCTGTTCTGCTTGTCCCAGTTTCAACTCTTAGTGGAGCTGTTTTTGCTCTCGATTGTGTAACCGGATTTTGGTTTGGCCCAGTCAACGGTCCCGTTTGGCTTGCTAAATCTTGACTGAAACAGGCTGAAAAATACTGTTCTAGCTGAATTTGAATTGTTGAGAAAAATAATATTCCAATTTAAAAAATAAGTTAAACAAGCTGAATATGAGACATAATCCGAACGGGAGCATGTATCGCTATATATATTCACCTGTTGACGTTGGAGACCGGATGTTTTACCTTAATAATTAAAAAAAGAAAGAATTTACAGGCTGGCGAGTACCTTTTTCCGTCCAACCGTACTGCCTTGTCCAGTGCTCAGCGGCAGCACTGCAGCTGGCCAGCTGTACTACTCCTATAAAACATGAGCTAGTTACGAGCACCTGCAGTTGCAGCACGAGCTAGTTACCAGGAACGCAGCCATGGCAAGCAGTGCCGTCGTCGTCCCCACCTCTCCAAGAAAGTAAGAACGCTAGTTTGTTCGTTGTGTCTGGTCTGCCGTGCTGATTCCTTCAAATCTGACATAGGTTGATCTGTTATGCATGTATGCGCCCAGGTTGGAGGGAAAGGTGGCCGTGATCACTGGCGGGGCGAGCGGGATCGGCGAGCGCACGGCGCGGCTGTTCGTGGAGCACGGCGCCCGCGTCGTGGTGGCCGACATCCAGGACGAGGCCGGGGCGCGCGTCTGCGCCGATCTCGGCGCGGGAGCCGCCAGCTACGTCCACTGCGACGTGACCAGCGAGGACGACGTCGCGGCCGCGGTGGACCACGCCGTGGCGACGTTCGGTGCGCTGGACATCATGTTCAACAACGCGGGCGTCAGCGGGCCGGCGTGCTACAGCGTCCGGGACAGCGGCAAGGCTGACTTCGAGCGCGTGCTAGCCGTGAACCTGGTGGGCCCGTTCCTCGGCACCAAGCACGCGGCGCGGGTGATGGTGCCCGCGCGCCGAGGCGGCTGCATCATAGGCACGTCGAGCGCGGCGGCGGCGGTGACCGGCGTGTCCTCGTACGCGTACGCGTGCGCGAAACGGGCGCTCGTGGCGCTGACAGAGAACGCGGCGGCGGAGCTCGGCCGGCACGGCATCCGCGTCAACTGCGTCTCCCCCGCGGGGGTCGCCACGCCGCTGACCATGAGGTACATGGGCCTCGAAGCGGAGGCGTTTGAGCAGGCAATGGAGGCCATCGCCAACCTCAAGGGCGTGGGCGCCCTGCGAGCGGACGACGTCGCCGCCGCCGTGCTCTTCCTCGCCAGCGACGACGCGCGGTACATCAGCGGCCACAACCTGTTCGTCGACGGCGGCATCTCCGTCGCGAACCCGTCCTTTGGAACGTCCAAACACTGAGTGGGACCCGTCGGAGTCACGTCGCGCGTGTGTGATCTGTTATCAGTCGTCCGATGACTAGCTCGGCACACACTACACACTCGAGTTTGCTCCGTGAATGAATGATTGCTCGCCGGCTTTGTAAGGTCCGCCCGTTACCCTTCAATTTTTTTAACTAAAAATAAATGTACCTCCCTCATCCGCTTTGTAAGGTTTACTTTTTTCACTTCTCAGCAACACTCTTGTACTACTCCCTCCGTCCGGCATTTCTAGAATTTTTTTTTTTTCAAAATAAATGCACCTCTACAGGTAAGATATAGTAACTTTACTCGTCTTTTTCTACTTACTCTATTTTTAAGGCGTAATGATTACATCTTTATAGGAGCATATACGTAATTTCTCACGATCTCTTCACCTAAACTATAGAAGTGCACTTGTTTTTGGATGGAGGGAGTACCAATTACTAGTACAAATAAATTGTTATTTTTATGATTTATTATTTGTCTCTGTATCATAACATATCAAATTTTTATCCTTGCATGATTATAGAAATAATTGTAAATTGTTAGGTTGCTTTTGTGCCAACACATATCAGATTTTATCAGGTTTGTGGTTTTATCTAATGAGTTTTTTATTTTTGGAACCAAAAATTGCAGGTCGTGCATACAGAAATTGCAACAAATTAAAACTACAATTTTAATATAAAATATATGCAATAACCGTCGTCGAAAGAAAACTAAAATTCAAACATATGAAATCTAGCAAATCCCTTACTTTTTAACAAAAAGAAGACTGAACCTCTACTTTCTAATAAAACTAGATGAATTCTCAGCGTTGCCGCGGAATATCTGTGTAACACTAATGCTGGATTGATTAAAAATGTTGTATGTTGCTTGAGGGAAAACAATATTGGATGTAAGTTGTTACCTCCAATCTGATTTCGTAAACTCAAATAAATAAATGGTGCCTATCTACCATACACAAAATAAGAAAAGTATAATAGATAAAAAAAAAGTATAGCCATAAGAACAACTCATGATCGCCTACCCTAACGACAAACAACACTCATGATCCACAACCACCAGCATGAAGGAACACTCGTGGCCCACCAGGCACCAGCATGTACGCGTGGTGTGCACGATCATCTTGTCTTGAGGAGATAGAGCAGATGGGAACATGTGTTACAGGACCTAGAGTGGAGCGTGGAGACAGCTGAGGACAAGGTGACAGCAAGGCGGCGACCGTTCATTTGCAAAGGAATGCCTGCTCCGTTGCTATGGCTCTTGTATAGCTTATGATTTGTTTGGATGCGCATGTATTATCTCAATCCACATGTATTGAAGTGAATTTGAATAGAATTAAATTAAATTTCATTCTATTTCACACATATGAGTTAAAGTGGATATACATGCATCAAAACGAGGTCTTAAGTGGGTAAAAAATATGGAAGTACGTGGGAATTTAATGGTGCACGGAGAAAGTGAAGGGGAAAGGTTATACTAGACGGATGGATAGATAAAACTGGACGCTCATGATCAAACAGACAGACAGTTAGATGAGGTGGAACGCTGTGGTGCAAGATAGAGTGAGGTTTGCTTTTATAAAAGCTATAGATATATTGTTAGAATTTAAATGTTTTTACAACAATCAACTTGATAGAAGTCCCATCAAAATCCAAATATATACTGCTTTTTATGTTATATATTTTCTACAGTTATCTATATTTATAAAATTGACTTTTGTAAACACATATTTCTACTTTTTATGATTTTGTCAAAATTCTACTTTTATGAATATCAACAAAAAAATTTAGCCTAGACTTATAAATATACAAGTTGTAGTATCTGAACTCTACAATGCACTCACACCACGCACATGCACACCGTAGACCTATATCTATAGCTTTTATGAGCATACATTTTTTTACATTATTATTAACTCCATTAATTTTGGTTGCTTCTCATCTATTTATTATGGAGCCAATGATAGGATTGACTTGCTCCCACCTTTCTAACATTATGGTCGTCCTAGGAGTTGGCACGCAAACCAACGAGAAAACCAAAGATGTGCATACACCTATGTTCTCTCCCTCCTCTCTTCCCCGTTACCCATCACTCTGCCTCATCGAGCCCCGTTGCGCCGAAACCCACGCCACCGCGCTGAGCACCACACCGTGCCAAACACCACCAGCGCTCACCTCACCGAGCCCCGCACCCGCCCTCACCAGCGAAAGATGTTGTGGGGGGTCAGCGCAGATGGGCCAACCAAATATATGGGGGGGGGGGGGGGGGGGGCTGGAGCGAAGGAACGAACAATGGATCTGTTGATGAGGGCCGATGGAGGAGAAGGGGACGACGAGTTGGATCTTGGCCACCCCGGTGTAGCCTGGACAAGTAGCGTCGCCTCCACATTGCTGGAAGAGAACAGGGTGAGCACCAACAAATGAGAAGAGGAGGGCGCGCACGTCCTCCACGCCGATTGTTTGCGGTCCTTAACTCGTATATTTTAACCGCCAAATTAATCTAAAATGACAACATTACATGCTACGCTATAGCAAAATATTATTTTATTTAACAAGTTTCATGAGTTTTGGTGGCTCTAAGTTATTTTGCAGGATATGCCAAAAATGAACGTCAAAAGATGATATATGGTGTGTATGTAGCTGTGGCGAAAATCGGCCCTAAAGAGAAGTTCAAATTTTCTTCATATCAAAACAGTCTCAAATAAATATTTGAAGTAAGCCATTGCGAAGAGCTCGTCGAGATATATATATATATATAACTTGATATATTTAGAGATCAGATAAGAGAGATACAAATTTTACAAACTAAAAAGGGATGCTGACACGACAGCACTCCTAGAGTCAACATGCCAACCCAAAATGACGACACCAGCAGCAACTCTGGACCAACGTGGCAGGCCAAAATGCATGCTTGCGAGCCATGCAGGGGGCACGCCGACCCCACTTTGTGCCCCAGCTTCACAATTCCTAAACGGGCAGCTAGGCCCCGCTGCTCCATGCAGCCTGAGCCAGCAGCTGGGGTGGGCTGAGCTGTCAACCTGTTTGGCTGGGGCTACGATCATGGATTATTATCGCTGACTAATTTAATGTGAGAGAAAAATAATATTCTGATTGAAAATTTAGGATCGTTTACGACCAAACAAATAGGCCGTGTGTCGGAGAGAGCGGCAGGGGCCAAACGGATCAAGGTGGTTTGTTTCTGTCTTCCTGAGCACATTTGAGACTTGGAACGTGCACACACGACGCGAGGCAATGCAAGGCAGCCGGCGCAGGTGGGCTAGCAGCCAGCGGAGCTGCAGGCGCGTACTGAGTATGGCATTCAGAGATGTGGGAGGCCCAGCTGGCCCATAGGCCAGACGGCGGTACACGAAACCAACAGCGCACCAGCATGTCAAGACGGTTTTTGATTAGTACCATATCGATTGCCAACAAATAGTTTTTACCCTTAGCAGCCTATAAACAGAGCCCCTCTTCCTCACTTGTAACACATACCTCAAGGAGGAATTCTTCACACCATTCCAAGATGTAGTAGTAGTACTAGCTAATTGAGAGTTAGCGAGAGATGCTAAAGTTCCGGTGCAGTCCTCGAAGGTACGGTATAATCTTGTATCGCTCCTCTGTAAGACTCAAGTATTTTATATATTTATCTTCTCTAATTATTGAAATGTCCTTCATGGTTATCTAGTTCATGTCTTAGTAGTTTAGTTAAGCGTGGTTAAGTATAGTCGTGTCACACTTTGGTATGGGATCTTCGCTCCACTGAGTGCTCTAGTTTTTACGTGAGACTAGAGTAGTAATCGATACTACAAATATTGTGTCTAGACTATAGGTTACTTGAGTTTGCACCCAAACCCATGAATAGTTGTTATAGCCCCAGAGGTAACAGCTCTGACCATGCCTTTGTAATCCACCACGTTCGGTTTGGTATTTTCGTAGAGCTTTTGGCAGCCTGACCCCGATCACCCCTTCCCACTCTTTTTCGAGGATAGTGCTATGGTGTGATCGCTATGGTTTATTCACTGCTTACCTTAATCCCTTTTGTCTGCTCTAGAATAGAACCCCAGTAACAGTGAAGTATAAAAAGGAACCTTGTAATTTCCCGTCGTCCTCCCAGCTTAGCTTAAACTGCTCTTCTATCTTACCATAGAGTTCTCCTATATGTCTCACTATACAAACACTCTTATCTTATCACTTACCTCCACATTAGTCTAGTAGGTATACTAACTAGTAGATAGATGATGGTTAATTATCCACTTTAACCATTGCTTTCCCATGGATAAATACGATACCCTGGAATACTCCTTGGTGAAAGCTACAACGGTATCCGTGCGCTTGCGGATTTCTCTGTTTGCGTTAACAAATACCAACAAGCTTTCTAGCGTCGTTGCCGGGGCAACAATTGGCTTAAATATTTTGATATTTACCTTGATATCTACTAACCTAGTCTACCACTAGCTTTTGTGGGTACAAAAAAAAGAAAAATCACCACGAGCCCAGGGTGCCCGATCAATCATGAACCATCAACACCTCTATCCTGCCATCTCAAATTGTGGATGATCAATCAATGTATGAGAGAACCAACCCAAAAATATCTTTTCCATTTTTATTTTTACCACCGCATGCTTGCTTGATTCACCAAATATCTAGTGCTTTCTTTGGGTGGCTCCTAGACTTTGAGCTGTATTCAGGCGCTATGCCTAGTCTAGGTAGATGGCAAATTTCTTTGTTATCTATCTTTTCGATGCTCTTAGTCTAGCTTCATAGTATACGAGATGTTAAACGGGACCATCGGATTCATATGTTGGCTTTGCTAGTCGGTATGCATCGTCAGATGGTCCAAGCTACTAGAAAAGGCTAAAGCCTAGATTTTTATGCATGTCACTCATTTAATTTCCTTTTCCAAAACCATCACATGTTTGTTTTAATTTGCATTCATCAAACCCGTTTGCATTGCTTTGTATAAAAAATAATAAAAACAATGGTTCTCTGATTCACCGTT